TATGCTATTGGTAGAAATTGATGAGAACGGTTTCGCCCCGCATAATGTTACAGTCTGTCACTCGCGTAGGTTTCCGATGTGAATGAATGTCTAAAAACGGTCCAGTACCCTTGGAGCCTATTCGATGCAAACAAACAGTCAAATATTTCTTCTTTATAATATTATAGATTTTCTACAATGACGTGATCAGGTAATCCTGGTCTGGGCGGTTATAATGCGGAGTCCACGTTGTAAACTATTATTACAAATAGGTGTTATTATGGAGTCATCGGTCTACCAGCTGACAGTTTTATTTATTATATTGTTTTATAAATTGGCAAGTCGCATAGTTATAGAATTCACGTGCTGCTTAAATATATGTATGCAAATATTTATTGCTTTTCTTAAATAAGCTACAGTTTGGAATGTTCGTGTACTTGCTTTTTCTGATGTAGTTATCTTGAGAGCATGTTTAGTCCACAACTCTCGTTATATTAGACAACAAAAAGTAATGACACAATTCAACAAAGCTTTGTCCTACTATTTACAATAGATTTAATAGATATAAAAGGAGACTTAGCAGCCTCACTCATAATTAGTGTCTGAGACGACCTTCAAACACTGAAAAAGTAATAAAATGTGCAGACAATAGAGTCTAATAACGTTTAACAGACGGTTAATTTGATTTATATAACAACACCGTCCCGTAGCCAATAAATGCTAAAATGATGATTAGTATACTTGTATTGGTCACCGTCACACCAAAGGTATGAATGTATTATTAACCCGATAGCTAATGACATCCAGTGAGTATTTTTGTAGATGTAACAACAAAGGCAAAGAAGTATAAGTCGAAGTAGAAAAATAAATATATCGTAAATATGATGGAACTCTTTAATAGAATTATCGGAACAACCTTATTAAATCACAGTATAAAACTCGTCATAGAAGAAATAAACAACATTGTGAGCAAGAGTGAGTAAGATTGTGTTTATAGTGGCAGTTTTGTATTTCAGCAAAAAAGGACTGATGTTTCTGATACGAAAAATAACTTTCCTTTTGACTGTTTTAGAAATAGAACTTTCTGAATATCAAAATGAATACAACTAATAACGATTGAAATATCAAAATCATCATCGACTTTTTTCCATATAAGTATTGTTAGAAAAGTAAGAGGCTTTTTAATGTTATAATAAATAATCCTTTCGCTTTGACTAATAATTATACGATTGATCTCAATAAAAAGTGTTTATACGTTTGAATAATATTATATGGAATTTTCTTTATATGTGATGCAACGTTTCACTACTTTACAACAAACTGCACGTGTCAAACTAGGCATAATCACGGAATCTACAGTAGTTTAGATTTCGTGTTCGAAGATTTCAATAAGGATACAATATTTTTGTCAAAACGATATCTAATTTGATTTATCAACTAACTAAATAAATTGTTAACACACACGAAAAAGTTACAGTATTCACGAGATATGCCACAATTTTGCGGCACCATTGTTGTCAACAGTAATGTATAAAGCATTATAAAATACATACTTATTACGTAAACCACACGAGCAACTCTAATGTAGAATATGCTATCAAAATATTGCATCTTGTCTAGAAAGGACATGCTGAAAAAGTAAATTAAATTTTAATAACATTATACAAGGAAATACTGTGCGATGTACCAAGACCTTTTCAAATCGTAATACAATGTGAAAATTCACACTTTGTATGCAAATCTATAATCACATTCACTGTTTTTCACTGGACTAATTATTACTTATTATCGTTATCTAGATCGTTATTTGAATGATTACGAAAAAAAATATCTAATCGCACTTCCAGTGAACTAAAGCGTGGGACAGTTCTCGGCATCTTTTTCTTTACCAGACTGCGAAGTCTATCCGAATAATGATATTGCTAATACACAAATAGAGCATTCCTTTCAAAAGTTTGCCGACGACGACGACGACGAAGACCCGCCCGGTGCATTCATTTATTTTTATTTATGTATGAAGGATAGTTTATGCAACATTCTTATTAAGGTAAATTAACATGCAAGCGGTAAATCAGTAAGCTAATATACCGCTGTTAGTGTATAGTTGAATTGGAAGAGATAGTTCGGAGGTTCCCAAACTTTTTAACTCCTTCATTATAGATGCACTAAGATTTGAATATGCTAAGTGAGCTAATGGTGACAAAACTGTACACGTAATCAAATATAGTTATATTCATCAATACACTGTATAATGTGCCATATACAGTGTCATAAAAACTTTTGCTTTCTGTTATCTAAATTTTGGTACAGAATTAAAAACGCTGATTGGCATGACTAAACTAAATCTAGTCTAAATAGTTGTAAAAAAATTGGTACCATTGCATTTTTGGAAATTGATTTTGGATTTAGAAATTTTTGAAAAATGAAGATACATTTTAAATTAATTTTATTGTTATTGTTTTTTTTTAATCAAACTCGAGCGGGAGCACCTGAACATATCTGTCATGTGGAGCAGCCAAAAAGAGCAATCACGAGCATTATCACATTTTATATCTATTGTTTTTTGGCTACACATCAGCTCTTTAGATTTTCATATCTGTTAAGCAATGAAGAAGTCGTAAAAGTTTTAGTTTCATCTTCAAAAGTATCATCTCCAATATGTTCTAAATCGCGTTGTGAATTTGCTTATGAAAGTTGTCAAATGTAATTTAGCAGGCGAACTTCTCTTGCGCCAGAGCGTCCAACCAGCTAACTGTAGTAGATGTGGAGATGTACATTACACTTGTTACCATCTCCGACTTCGTTCATTAAACAGGTAACCGTCGGCCGCACCAGCGGCTCACGTCTGCTATCAGGTGCGCTGCAAACAAAACGTTGAATAGAGGCCGGGTTAAACATGCACGACGGGTGTACGGGTATAATTAAAGTTTAGGAGACGCTCACGTCGCCCGTTAACCTCGTTATCGGGCGCTGGAAGTGGGTGAGACGCGGTGGGGCGGGAGCCAAGCTCGGGGTAGGGGCTGGCTGGAAAATCAATGACAGCCGCCGCGCGCCGTCTCTCCGCGGCCCGACGCGTTCATCTCGCGACCACGTGCCGCGGTCACTGGCCTCACCACTTTATCATCAGTTCACCATGCCGTCCGTGTGGACAATCATTACTGACCATCATCGATGACTTTCTTCTTGCTAAAAGAGATACCCATCATTAGACGGATCAACGGCATCAACAATTGTAATTCAATTCTTAGAGGAAATCTAATTTGTACTTGCGTGTTTTGATATTTAAAAAATGGATGGCATAGAACAGATGAAGCTTCGCCCGCGCTCCGCTCTCGATTGTTGCGACTCGCTCCGTTACTTGCCTGTAAAATACACTAATATGTAGGTCGTCAGAAATTTGGGTTATCGTTTGCGCGTCGATATGCTACGCTTCCGCACCGCCACGCTATGAATACTGTGCAGTCGGCCAATGTTATTGCTGTGTTGCACATCCTGAGTTATGTAAAGGCCAGCTTTATTAAGACTAGGTCATGTGATGACGCTGTACCGTTAATGTGACGTACTAGAAATGGTAATTGTTTTTATAGAGTTGATTGTATCGGTTTAAAAACTACAATGCTTATTTATTTTATTACTTGTTCTTAATTTATGATTATGACACCATTTGAAATAAGTAGATGTAAGTGAAAAACGGTACACATGTTCCTATTCCTAATATATTGCAAACATCAAGTCTAAATCAGCTAATCATTGTAATGCCTTTTATGAATATGTCCACGGCTAGATTAATTAAATTTGTAACACTGTAGATTGTTTGATCGATGTCTGTTACCGCGGACATTCACACGGCACATTCACGTTACCTACCGGCAACACGGGTGACTCATAACATCTAGGCGAGTCTAGCAACACGCCGCCGACCGCGCGCCGTAAAAACCCGTGTACCAACAAACTTCCTAGTGCCCGATACGCGACTCGTTCGTTCCGATGCCGTAATGCTATAAATTCGAAGCGGTATATGCGTTGCGTTCACTACCGAATGTTTTATATAAGCATATCGCGACCCGTCGTCGATCAATGTCAACCGCATATTTGGGTCAACGTCCGTCAACCGAATTCCCGCGCTCATTTCTATCCTTCATTTCCTGCGAATTTGACGTCTTTGTTGTGCTAAATCTAGATTTTTATTATTACAAATCGAAAATAGTTTCATTTAATTAATTAGTCAACATTTTCAAAACTTAAAGCATAACTTTGGACATTCTAACCACAATCCTCATCTTTTATCTATAATTATGTACGTTAATAACTTTTGTTTTTCATTTATATTGAGTTCATTTTATCTGCTTGAATCTCAACTTATTAACCCAGACTGCAATAAATTATTTCAATAGTCTTGACTACATGAGGTGTATATTTTGATTTACAATATACCTACATGAGGTGTATATTGGTATTCCCATATTTTACTAATACTGAAATCCAAGACTGAAATAGAATCAAAACAGTAATAGCAATGTGTTATTGACAAAACGACGCAATCGTGGATTTAGATGATCCAACAGTTGTTGATGATCCAACATAATGTTTTTGCCTCTCTTCCCGTTCAGTATTATTGATAGATGAATGAGCTCATATGAAGATCATTTGTTAAACAATAAAATAAATCTTATTTAATTATAAAAATATAAATTATCCGCTTCAGAAGTTATTAAGGAATGTTTTTTGTATAGAATGAGTACTTTAATAAACCCCCATTGGATACACCCTCCTTTTAGCCTAGCGCCATCTCTTCTAGGGATCTAGAAGGGATGGCGCCACAAGAAGTGAGTAGTGTACCCAGAATTATCACATGTATAGTCAAATAATTTTATCTAAGAATATTTTTACAAAAATTTGGAGTATACAATTGTTGCCCTCATGGCTCCAGACAGTTTATTATTAGGAAGTTCATAATTTTCTGAATTGAAAACTGACACTACTACATGAATTCTTATCCAGTCCTTTTTATTTGCCAACAGGTATATTATGCGAAGAAGAAGCGGAGAGCGCAACAGTACCTGGGCGAGGACGGCTCGCACAAGAAAGAGCGGAAGCTGTACAACGACGGCTACGATGATGACAATCACGATTACATTATAAAGCAGGGCGAGAAGTTCCTTGACCGGTACGAGATCTCATCACCAATCGGGAAAGGATCTTTTGGACAGGTCAGTTTCTTTTAAGTTGAAGCGTGTTTCTTTAACTTCAATGCTGTTCGCAGTGCAGCGTCAACCGTAGTTTTTGCATTTTGTTTAAAACTTATTTGTTTTTTTTTTGTTTTCTACACAAATTATTATATTCAATTTGATCACGGGGAATAATTGAATATTAAACAGCTAAATCCTGTATCCCTTATGAATATAATTAATATATTCATAACATACGTTCTTGAAATAATATTAGAAAATTTTAATTTTACATATTGTATCGGATAACGCTGATTTGAAAGCTGAAAGCATTTTGAGTGAATCCAATCCTAATCAACTCGAAGCCAATGTAGGTCGGAAATTGAACCCGAGACTACAGAGACGACAACTTAAATCTTGTGTTGCGTTGAAAATCTGCTGCATGCTTTTGAAGATTCGAAAAGTTAACCATCACTTGTTAGCACTCTTTAAGTCTTATACAATCTCTACTATGATTAAGTTCTAAACGGTTCCCGACATTGATAAAAATAAAATGAAATTAACTAGTATTTCATATGTCATCTTGTTGCATTTTTTTGTTTACAGGTTGTGAAAGCGTATGACCACGAGGAGCAGTGTCAAGTAGCGATTAAAATAATTAAGAATAAGAAACCCTTCCTAAACCAGGCACAAATAGAAGTCCGGTTACTAGAAATGATGAACAGGGCGGATGCCGAAAATAAGTATTATATAGGTAAGCAACGTAATCATAATTAATGTTTTTATAAGTCATAGAGATGGATGTGCCAAGATAATATCAAAACCTCAATTTCGATCGGTTCAATGACCTGTGGCAGCTGTCGCTTTTGTACAGAAAGATTTATGAAACATTTTTAGGAACGTTCCGACTTGGAATTTTGGCCTGGCATGTCCGGTTAGCCAAACGGCGGGAACTTGCGTCGCGCCATAAAAATAAGTTTGGTTTATTTTATTTAACACTGCATAGTATTGACATGTGAAATAGGTGTGACTGGAAGAATATTAGAAATTTTTTACTAAATCAGTGTAATCTACATATCTTCATTGAGAAACACAGATTTGTGATATTATTAGGCATGATGACGGAATTATTGAGTACGACTAAAATTATGTTAAATAAAGTAGCAATTAGAATTTAAATTTAATAATAACTTTGTTATTATAAGACAAATTGATCCGGTTAAATTGGATCAATTAACAATCTCTCAAGAGTACTGGCATCGCGATGTAATAGACACCTAACTTTTAACTTGATCAATATGATAATGCCTATTATTAAAACACCATTAACACATTATATTGTTTGTTGCAGTAAAACTGAAACGTCACTTTATGTGGCGGAAACACTTGTGCCTAGTGTTCGAGCTGTTGTCATACAACTTGTACGACCTACTGCGCAACACAAACTTTCGCGGCGTGTCGCTGAACCTCACGCGCAAGTTCGCGCAGCAGCTCTGCACAGCGTTACTGTTCCTTAGTCAACCTGGTGAGTACATTGTGCAAGGCAAATGACCCGATCTTGGCCACCACCCCTCTTTTGGCTATTTGGGTTCTTTAAGGTAATATAAAATATAAGATAAAATATATTACTTTAATGTTCAGGGTTGGGAGTTATGACAAAGCTTATACCGTTGCCAACTGGGATGTATCAATGTTAGTACTTTGAGAATGACCAAAATCATAATCTTAAAATGGCCAAATCGAGTCATCTTTATTTTATATACATATATACTTTTTTCCAGTGTCGTATTTACCTACCAAGCTAAGTAGGCTGGAAACTAGCGGACCAATATTTGCGTATTACATTTTACTAATGTACTATCTACCTAAAGTCCAATATTATTAGTGCAATGTCTTCTATCTGCAATGGCAACATGCAAGTAGTTGAGATAATATTGAGATACGATTATTATCTAAACATTAGTATAATTGACCTGCAGGGCGGTAAATTTTAGGGACTGTTATTAGACATTTTTTTTTCTGTATGAGTGAGGCAGTCTTATAGAAATGCGGCGACCAGCCTGGTCACCTTGGGTCATGTTCCTTTTGGCCCCGCGATGAATATAGAATATTATTTTTTAATTTCCTAACTAGGAGCTAGGTTTAGGGTGACCATATTATAACGAAGAGGTAGCAGCTAGGGTATCGAAATGTCTCTTCACTTAGCTCGAAAATTTTCAATTGTAATTCGAATTTGTATATAGCACACCAAGTTATTTTTTGTTTAGTTTAACTGTTATATATCCGCAAAGGTATCTAAGATATCAAATTAAGAATTTCACACTTGTGCTCGTTTCAAGTTCTATTCGCACTCCATAATTTTCGAGCTAAATATAATCGTGAAGATTATTTCTAACAAACATTTACTTAACAACACTACTTCATAAAAAAATAATCGTCTTTAAATATAATAACAATTAGTAATCAAAACCAAGTATAAAACGTAGGTACCTACGTACATATCGTGCCACGTAAATTAAAGTATGCGCATTAGCACATTTTTCGGATCTCAATAGAGGTGCGGTGGTGAGACGTAAGGCGTAACCATAGTATAATCCTTGATGATATTACTGTACCCCCGGGTAAAACCGATATTTTTATTCAACTTAAGTGCCGATTATCGTAGGTAACTTAATCAAAACTGAATAACTGAAAAGCAAAATTCAAAAACGTGCACTTCTACAATAATATTTAACTCAAGTTGCAGATCGTCACCACAATTCAAAGCGTAAATTGGTACATACACGCGATTGCATAACAAAGTCGATGTGTACGTAATTGGATCTTTCAGCGTCGTATCTGCATTAGCAAAGAGGGTTGTTGCAAGCAAACGGTGTCGAAACGCGACCTCGCAACTAGGAACTGAGGTGGTCATAACTTGAGGCCTTACCGCCTTCTTAAAGCTATTCCAAAGGCCTATAGCAATTGATATCAATAGGCCTATAGCATTTTTATTCTCAATGAATTATTTTATTAATGTAATTATTTCAGAAGCCAGAGAGGACATTAATCAATTAATTTCCTCTCTGGCTGCTGAAATATAGACCCCATGAAAAGAATCACAAAGGGAAACTTTTTGTCGTCGCTTATTTTGATCTTTACTATTATCTAATATGGCAGTCTTTACTATATCTAAACTAAGATCAACAAAAATTAACGAATTAATACATTAATGATAATAAGATATACTAACTTCATAAAAAAAATCAAGTTATAGCTATCGCTTTGGTTATGACTTTGAGTTAAGCTTTAATCTGGTCGGCTCGCCGCCGCCATCGCCACCGCGCCGATATAATTATGCAGATATTATTATGCCTAAACAATGACCTATCGCGCGGTGCAGTTTGTTAGAGGCACCTTGTCGCGCAACTATTGGACAATTCTCATTGGTCGCACACCCGGTTGTGATTGCGACATTGTTTAATTTCTAACAATACCGCTTTCTCCTTTCTTTAGTAGATTAAGTAGGGTAGGTAATACAAATTTGAACTGTGCCTGTGATACTGTGAAATCCTCAAGACAAGGTAGAAAATAGAATATATTGTAAACTGCTTGATTTCCAGACTTCTATTAAACTAAGTTTCTTTAACGCTTTTAAATCAGAACTTCAACAACGAACTTGAGAACGTTTCGTCTTAAATATAATCACGCATGTATGGATATCAAAGTGCTGCAGGGCGATGCTGTAAAAATCCGAACCTGAATTAGAATTCACTCATATGTCTGAATTCATATTATTTAGTGAATAAATTCTTTTATTGATTCCATGTTTTGTTTAAAATACAAAACAAAATTGATTGATTATACGTGTCTCAGATATTCTATTCCTATGTCATTTCGAAACTCACTTCACTTATGCCACGCAACGTTATTTCAAATTAAAGATTGAGCGGATGCCGCTTTTTGAAATTAATTCGGTGACTTACTGACTGACGCCTGAGTGACTTGGAATTCGGGTTTGGATATTAACAGAATCGCAGGGCTGGACTAGAGAAAGTGACGTTTGGGTCTGGGTGTAGGCAAAACGTTACGCGTGCTAATCTTATCTTACAGTAGGTCTTCTACGCTATGTCTTATTATAACTTCCTGACTATATTGTGAATGAAAATTAGTTGTTACTGATGACACGTTTCTATCTCTATTTCAGAACTAAATATAATTCACTGTGATCTTAAACCCGAGAATATACTACTATGTAACCCGAAGAGGTCGGCCATTAAGATTGTCGACTTCGGCAGTTCCTGTCAACTAGGTCAAAGAGTGAGTATATATTTTACATAAATTTGCGAAACCATCTCCAGTAGCTAACGAGAAAAAACAACTTCAAATTGCAAATTTTTATCTAATGAAAATACTCGATTTTATTTTAATGGTAGTATCTAATTCGTTCCTTATTATGTAACTCTAGCACGTAAAATACGTAAGCGACATGCAAAAAATCTTACTACTAGATGATAGTTTATTTATTTTCTACGACTTATTACTTAAATATGTATAGTGACGCATGCATGGAATACGTTGCAAACATATGACCATAGAGCCTACTCTGTTTTTTTATTCTTAATTAATATATAATAGAACTTATTATCACCTAACAATAACAGAAGTAGAACAAGACTCTAATTAAAACATTAACATAAACCTAGTTTTAAACTACATTTAACGACTACGTTATATATTCGTGCTCAGTTTTCCTTGAAATAATACTTACTGTAACAATATTTCAGTCGTTCCTATCTAAATATGTTGTTAGATGAAGAAAGGTATACCTATGATTATTTAAAACAAATGTATCATTATCAGGGTTTGTTGTGATAATTATTTTAATAAATAAACCTTGATAATTATACACTACACAAACTCTTTTTGTACTTTAGGACTTGTTATTAAAGGGGAATCATCTTTAAACGACTGTAAAACATGTTTTTCTGATAGAGAAAATTGTCTAGGATAGACCTACAAAAACACAACAAAATATTGAACGGCCCGTTTTAATAAAATATATTTAAATTATATTTTCCTTTCACTTTTTTCAATGCGGTTTTATTTTTATTTGTTCATTTTGTTTGTTTAATTTTTGTAATTTAAAGTAACAAAAATAAAAGTCTAAACTGTTTTGGATGTCATTCTATATTTTAAAAATTGTTGCCAGTGTCAACCGATAATTATCAGATATTTATCGGATAATTATGCTTGTTCTTGATCACAGGCTCATTTAAAGGTGTTCATTGAATTAAAATAGCACTGATTAGGTACACAGAATATTCAATACTGATAAGGTATATGATTTTCTGAGACACATACACGTCCTACATATCCTGTGGTGGTTTATTTTGTGAGTAAAGAGATCGAACAATATTTACTATAACTTTGCCCTTTGAAACTTTTGTTCCGAGATGTACTCGGGAGATACACTTGTTTGTTTTTGTGATAATAAAAGTTTGTTCAAGTACCTACTATACACGCAGTCACTTTGCTGATATTCTAAATATACTTTGACGCGAAATAAATGAAAGAAACAAAGACTGGTGCATTTGGATCAGCTTAGTCGGAATTTATTATTTAAACCTTCAAGTAAAAAACCGGGATTCATTCGCCGAAAATAATTAGTTTTATTAGTTATCCATTTTAAAAAAAGCTATTGCATCAATACAAAGAATCATCAATTATCTTAGGCAATTTTTTTAAATAAGTTGATTGCGGAGGTACTAGTCTTCAGGTCAGTAGTAGCTCATAACAAAACAAAGCATTAGTTGTAGACTATGATATCGGTTTCATACGAACATGCCGATTTATGAAGTGTGCCAGCCGTAGGCTAATTGCGCAGATATAAATCACACGGGGGGCGTGTGATTCAGTGCCGTCCGTCGGTCGGGTTATCACCAATTGCGACGCGCATTCGTAGTTAATAACTTGGATTCTACTTACCGATAAATTGTGTCAATGGCGGGTCCAAGTCCACGTGTTTAGTGATGTTAATAAATATTTACATCGTGCGATAGTGTAGAGGAAACCGCATTTGTTATTTAAGTTTACTGTTTATTATAACAGTTGATGTATATTGTTTTGTATGATAACCTGTGACGGCAATAGGTGTTTTTGAATAGCGTATTATGGGTAGGTTTACCTGGTAAATTGCTTTGAACGTTTCATAGATTCGATATTTTACTTTCGTGTCTTATAATAATAATAATTTATTCATAAATAACATTAGGTCAATGTTACATTGTATTTAAAGGTAATGTTATAAGATAGAATAAAACTTAATTCATCACAATTCAAAGCTTTTCTGTGTCCTCATACGACAACGTTTGCAAAGTAACTTAAAATTTTTAACGTTCAATCTATTGTAACGCATTTCACTTTTGTTTTTTGAGTGCAAACTTTATTACTACTAATTTCTGTGTTATAAGCAGAGGTCGGAATTAGGTAGTTATTTATGTACTTGCATCGAAATGTTGATATTAATGTGGACTTTCGTGGCAACATCGCGCGTATTGATATTTTGCAACTTTGGACATCCGATGTCATTGATGTAAGTTTGGTAACGTCGTGCGTGCAGTAGTTTAAATTGTGTAAAAGTAAATAACTTTTTATTTAAAAAATCACGGGATATTTTCTGCTCTTTAAAATTAATCTCGGGATTTGAGGCATGTCCACTTTATTCTTTCGCTGTATGAAATCAGTGTAAGTACATGAATGAATAACTCTACCTAATTCCGACCACTGGTTATAAGGAATAGGATAGCGTTATGAAATTTTGTGGTTAAAAACAGAGTTGTGGTAATTTAACATAAAAATGTTTTCAAATAAGTACATATACTGTTTCATAATTCTATAATCAAGGTCCTCTTCCATCCACTTAATATTGCATCCATGGTCTTTATTTCTAACATTGTTAATTTTGAATCAAGTTAATTCGCAAGAGCCAATACAGTAATTAAATAGTTTACTGAAATATGAACAATTAAAAATTTCTACCTGATAAAGGTACTAGTCTCTTGATGTCAAAATAAAAAAAAAAACGGAACTGACGTTATTATCTTAGATGTCAATACGAAATTATTTAAATATGTATCCTCCAATTCTACTTTATTCATATATCCTTATATAGATGCCATAAAGTTTAATTTTCCCTTATCTAATTCGTCGTGTCTCTTTTCCAGATATACCAATATATACAGTCAAGGTTCTACAGGTCGCCCGAAGTCCTATTAGGTGTACCGTATGATCTGGCGATAGACATGTGGTCGTTGGGCTGCATACTTGTGGAGATGCACACAGGCGAGCCGCTGTTCAGCGGCGCCAACGAGGTCGATCAGATGAACAAGATCGTGGAGGTGCTAGGCATGCCGCCCGATCATTTGCTCGACCAGGTAATGTTGTCAACTAATTTGGCGAGCTGAATGTAGATGGCGCTGATTACGTTGGCGGTCATGTCAGCTGTCATTTGGCAAATCATTTTGTTGAATGAAATTGATGTGTGAATGTTAATTTTGCTCATTATCACGTTGTTGGATTAATATTAATTTCATCTATTATATGCATTATGCTTTTATAATTTCAGGCTCACAAAACTAGGAAGTTTTTTGATAAATTACCAGCATCCGAGGGTGGTGGTTACGTATTAAAAAAAGTCAATGGAAAGGATGGCAGGTGAGTTCCTAAAATAAACTCTTTTAAATCCAAATTAATCATATCGAAACACTAAGAATATTATTTAGTAGAAGTTGACTTGTATATTATTAAGTAGGAGTAACGTGCAATCTTTGCCACTTTCGTTAGATAAGTTATGAGTGAGGGTAGTTTAAACAAAAATCCGATTCATCTTCACCCCATGACATCCCCGCGTTTTCGGTTTAACTTTTGCTTTCGCGGAGTGATGATCTTTAGTTTATGTGTTGACCTGTGGCAGTGGTTACAGGAAGTACCGCGCGCCGGGCACGCGGCGGCTGCACGACATCCTCGGCGTGGAGGGCGGCGGGCCGGCGGCCAGGCGGCGCGGCGAGCCCGGTCACTCCGTCTCTGACTACCTCAAGTTTAAGGTGACGTCACTCACTGTATACACGCCCCTATAGCACTGCACCAGTACAGCGGCCGCGCGACATCCACGGCGTGGAGGGCGGCGAGCTACTCATTGTATCATATCACTTAGGTCGTTAGTACACCGACGCAAGGGCATGCGAATGCGGTATAATCGCGAAATCTTGTCAGCTGTATAGCAATGTTTAGCATTATGCTTTATCTCGCGCTAATATTAGCCCGATGAAATAGCTGCGTCCGTCAGTAAGGTTTCGGATTCAGGGTTGCCACCCAATCCGGTTTCTGATGACTTTCCGAATATCACGAATTTTGTTTCTCAAAAGGTGACATCCCTGTCATCGTTCGCATAGTTTTGCATTCGCAAACGATTGCGTCGGTGCACTAACGGCGTTACGGCATCTATGACTCGTATGAATTAATATGACCTCCTGAGGGCCTATTCTATTTGTCTTCAAATTAATATTTGAAAAATAGCGAAACGTTCTTATTTTGTTATAATCATATCTTAAAAGATTTATATAAATCGATGGCAATGTCGGGCCCTATTTCCGTTGCATCGTAAATTTTCTTTTCTTTGGAGTCGTGTTTAGCATTTTGAAAATAGAAGAAATTTCGCCTTGAGTGCAAAGATGATTCATACGGGGGTGTATCACTACACTTGTACAGCGGCTGCTCGATATCTGCCGCGTGGTTCTTTTTTTTTTCTTGACGGTAAGTGACATCACCATAGCTGAAGACAAGGCGACCGTGATTGTAAAGGTTCTCCGACCGTGTGGACCAGCCGAAACTGATAGACGGAGAGCTCGTGACAAAAATGACCAAGAGCTTTTCAAAGCTTTGTTTCAGTTTGTTGATGTACTAAAGATATATAGGTACATCACTCGGTGACTTCTTAGATTATTATCTAAATTTAGTTGGCATACACTTTTGGAACGTCTTCAGACTGACCCTCGACAAATAAATTCTTACGTGTTTGTACAACCAGTGGGTTTAGTAGGAGTTTAGTCTAATTCGCACACTTAAGCAAGTCTAAGATTACCGTACCCGTATTATATCACTACACTGCTACCACTACAGCGAAACAGAGATACAAGGATGAGTCTACGATGCAGAGATTACCCCACAGTACAGAACTGTATATGATGATGACAATAAAACCATATTTTCTATATTATCTCTGGTCTGGCTAATGTAAAGTTATTGAGTAATAATAGTTTATGCCGGCTCTGACAGAACTAAATCGTCGATGTTTCAACTGATCAAATCGACAAATCGTTAATAATTCAACATTCCTGAATCTAAACAACGATTCTTTCATCGAATCCTGAACTTGAACAATACAATAGAGAATTTATTTTCACAGGACCTAATCTTGCGTATGCTCGAGTATGACCCGAAGCAGCGAGTGACGCCGTACTATGCGTTACAACACAACTTCTTCAAACGGACAGCGGACGAGTCCACGAATACCCAACAAGCTCAGTCGCATCACCAACACGGTACGTCAACAAAGACTTAGTTCAATTGAATGTATAAAATTATCCGAAGTAATTGATAGAGATCGAAGGTCGAGATAATACTTACCCATGGGTCCGTAATTCTGCCTCGTTCTGAGAAGAACCCACCAGAAACTCAACAAGGCATTTTTTTTTTCATACACTATTTAATGTGTCACAGCATGTAGATAAATACCGTTTACCATCAAAAAAGTGTTAGTTAATGAGTGTTACTATTCAAATCGATACTTTATCGATAAATACTGTTATATTTTTCACAACACTAGCTAAAAGTTAGTTTGCTAATTGGCTTCATTTGATTTATTTAGTAAATTTCTAGTAAATTAGCAATTATTTTGAAATGTGTTTTATATAAGTTACTTAACTGGCCTTCTATTTCTATTGTCTGCTTCGAAAACTGCAACATATATAATAATATACGCTAACACAGCCCAGTCGGTATTGGGTGTGATAGATTTCATATAAAACACGTAGGTTTTAAGCGGAACATACTCTTAAGGTTGTTATTTATAGAGAAAATGTTTATATGTACCAGTTTTAGAACAATGCCTTTTTACCTCGAATATAAATAGAAACGAGAATTATTTGTATGTTTTCTCTAGAATCGGTATGTTATATTTTAACTATTAATAAGTTAGATACTAAATAAAATAAAATCTCGTAGAGTTACCGATCTTCTCTTCTTCGTTAGTATATATGATAATGTGCATAGGTAACTGATTTTATTATATATACGTTTATTGAAATAATAACGAATTTTTTGTTAAAGCTACATCAGTGTTATTAATTTTGCTTATGTACACAGAGCAGCACATCACGTTACCGTAAAATGACAAAATTATACAATCCTTTTAGGATCAGTGAGACTTTATTTTTTGATAACTTGATGTGATGTCGATTGTACATTTAAAATATGTGAAATAACATAAATAAATTTAAAAAAACCTTCAATGTTTTATTATATTGAGTTGTTATTTTGATGTACTATAATGTAAGTGTGATTATAATGTCTCGAGCTTGTGTGATGAATTGCGCTAACACATAACGCTTCTCATCAAGTCTTCATCATTCAAATATATAAATATATTAATAACGTAAACGTTCACATCATTATATAAAACATTACTTGATCCGTATTTTATTTACTTGATGGGTTTGATTTTTCATATCAGAGTGTGAATATTAAATATTTGTGTGAGGTAACAGTCGCCTAATATGACTCACTATTTTTGATCGCTGAAGTACTAAAAACCTAATTGAGATGCGTTTAAATTGCAAAAGAACTCAAATTAAACGCTCAGTCAGTGCGTGCGGTGTAATTAATACATCGGTTGATTTTTTTTTTAATCTCATCGGTCATAACCAGTGGTCGGAATTAGGTAAAGTTATTCATGTACTTACACTGATTTCATACAGCGAAAGAATAAAGTGGATATGCCTCAAATCCTGAGATTAATTTTAAAGAGCAGAAAAAATCCAGAAAAAGTGATTTTTTAAATAAAAAGTTATTTACTTTTACACAATTTAAACTACTGCACGCACGACGTTGCCAAACTTACATCAATGAAAGAAAGAAATAAAGAAATCCCGGGAAGGTCCACATTAATATCAACATTTCGATGCAAGTACATAAATAACTCTACCTAATTCCGACCTCTGGTCATAACACTTATTATGTGACATTACCTTTATAGTGATAATGAAAAAGGCATTAATATAATTTATTCACCGAGGGGTGACATTTATAAACCGTAGATTGGGCAATGAGTGAACATAAAAAAAAGAACTTGAATGGCACACACAAAAAATAAAGTACTCGCCAAAAAGTATTGAAAGCATTTTATTTTTATTACAAGTACATGATATAAAAAATCGAACCCTTTCTTTTAACTAATATCATAACTACTAATATTCCGAACTTTTAACTTGATCACTATGTCCCATATTTAGAGTATGAATACGAAAAATGTGACAGGAAATATCAAAATTTCATAATCCCTCCTATTCATACTTGGTGGTTAATCATACGTGTATAAGGGAGATTAGAAATGCAAACTGTATGTCGTTATAGAGAGAAACAGTTGTTGTTATTGTCCAAATATACCATTTCATAAATACAACGTTAATAATTTTCAAAAAACGGCAATTAATAATGCCGCTTCGCGTGGCGTTAGTGTAATATTTTATCATTAATAGAAGTTAGTGTAAATAGTCACTTATCATATGAAAATGAAGGTTTTGATATTCATACTCTAAATCGGTACACACCTTCTACATTATGGCTCATTTACATTGTTTGATGTGGCGCTCATGCGATGTGCTGGCATATTTTATAGCTCATTTTAATTGCTTGGTGATTCATTTATCGACCCATTAAATGAGCCCGAAGAGGCCGCCCGCACTACTCATGCGGACTCCATCGACCAATGTAAAGTAGTCATTATTCACTAACGATCTCAGATTGATTAGAATTCTTGTCGATTATTGATGAGAAAACAAGGATAAAAATGGTCTTCCGATTCGTTATCCACACAGTATAAAGAATGATATTTAAACTTTATGGAGAGGGCTGGTAGGCAACTTTCTAGGATACAAGTGAATATCTGTTGTATATCGGAAAAAGCGAGCTGTGTTGCCTAATACGCAATCAAATATGCGTTTATATTAGTATATTTGTGCGTGAAGATCATACTTAGTAAATATCGATTCAAACTGAAGTGGCAACGTTATGCCATTGAAACAATTACTACTTTAATGATAATAAATATTAGTAAAAAAAAATAACCTACTATGCTCGCTCATTATATCGTTACTCCTTACTCACTACTCTATGAATGACGTTTATAGAAAAAATGTTTACTACATATGCTAGTGCTGCAATCTGGCGACCCAAAATTGCTATTCTCTGTGTAGGGATTTCTATTAAAATGTTGTTGACTTCCGATCTTACAAACAGTGGACATTCGCCATTCTAAACTCTTCCTTATACTGCGTGGTGTATATCGATCGTTTGGTGAATGAGTAGTCGGTGTGTACGGTATCAGTGTGAGATGTACTAGAGGCCAATGCGGTCTTGTAAGTTCGTTGTCCGTTGCTAACGTGTATAATGGCGTTGGTGGCAGATGTGCCGGACCCGCGATGACTAGAGCGGTCGGGCGGTCCCGCCGCGAGGCGCTAGCGCCGCCACTCACACAGGTCTGCTTATAACGACCCCCCCCCCACCCCATTTCGAACCCCTCCAATCACCCCCGGATCATTCATTAGGGCTTGCCAACTGTTCGTAGTAGATATATGGATAGTGTTGCGGATTATATCGATGGATTCTGACAGCCGTTCGTCGACTTTAAACAATATTGTCATTATCAAAATCGATGGCATTGATCAATTTTAAAATAGTGCAGTTTCTTCTGCGTAAACTCGTCCCATTGTAGATCCATGACATCCATGTCATCGAGTTTGGATTTATTGAGCCTATTTATTATAAACAAAAATAATTAAAACATTCGAAATCGTAAGATTTTGATACTATCGATGGTCTATTTTTTTATTGCTGCGATACTGATATGTAAGTAACGTTAAAGTTGCTTAAGCTTGTTTTGCTACTGTTACAACCTTGGTCAGGGTTTATTTGACTACAGAAAATATTGAATTTAGTAGGATGATTAAAATTTGTCATATGATTGTAATATGCATACAAAAAAAAACACTTTTTCCATCGGTTTTGACCAGGGCTTTAAATTTAAATGAGGCAAATATAATAATAATTTCATTTTGTAATAACATTATTAATAATCTTTTTAACAGTTGGCAACCTCTTTTCGACATATCCACCAGATAGAATCCACTGCATGCATTCGGTGTTGTTTGCATGAAAAATCATATCTGTAACTCTCTTTATATTCTTAGAACTGATAGATCACATCTTATGAGAAGCAAATTAAGTTCTACTAGTATTGAGATGATAGCCCTTATTTCTCGTCATTTCATACGGGCATTCTGAACATATCCTTAGCCAGCTAGCTCCATTTTAGTCAATTTTATAGTAGAAACAGGATAAGAATCAGCAAATTATAACGAATTTAGAAAAAAAAGTCATTTATTAATTTTTGCATTTAACAGTATATTATTCTGCATAATGTATGATAACTTTTTTTATGAATGTCAAAGTGAATTGACAAACATTAAAAGGCGACGTCGCAAACTCTCGCGGTTTATCACTAAATAAAAGAACGGTTTTACAGAGAGTTACAGATTTTGCATATGGGGATGGATTTAAATGATGTTTATTTGCTTGATACAAAAGGATTGCTGTTTAGTTTCATAATTACAGGATTATTGAATACCTCACGTGTTAAGAAACCCTACTTTCTCCACTAGTTAGTTTGAGATAGATCGTAGTAATATGTATGTATAATTGATATGATATTTTAAACTGTTTGATAAGTGATACAAGTTCGACTACGGGTATAGTGAGATCAAATCAATTGTGCGCGCAGCGGTTTGTGTTTGAACTTATGACTCGGAATCGCTACAAGACAAAACAAATAAGAACACACGTTACTCGGACGACGACTGAAGCGTCACTGTCATACGCAGGGTTGTCAACCACAAGAAACTAAAAAACCAGGAGAAAACCGTAGGATATGTAAAAAATACTTTACTCGTATAAGTAAAACTAATATACTCTATCTATCTACCTATGTCTTCACGTCGTATCTCTGGCGGGGTAGGCAGAGGACCAAACACCACAATGTACGGTCCTAAGAGTTATCTTTCGTCTCATCCACTTTCATTACTCTTTTCATACATACTCGCCGGTTTTTATGGCTTCCGACACCACCTCTTAAAAGCACGCGTTTGATGGACTGATAGACTTTTATTAGTTATCAGAGACTTACATACACTGTTATATAATATTGATCACAAAATATAAAGTTGATGAAAAATGAAACTAAATAAAAATCTAAATTATTTTCCATTTTCATCCTCACTTGTCTCATCTTCTATTTCATTTGTACTTTGTAATTCATTTTCCTTTTTAAAATCATACATAGTCATGTTGACTTTCTTCAGGTGCCTTTCTGTGGCTTCAAATGAGTAGCGATCGGTTATTTTGGATGTAAAAGTGGCACTGAACGCTAATTGAAAATCAGTAAAAATTAGGAATGAAACAGAAAACAGGGGCATCAATGTGAAAACAGCAAATCTACTGTTAAAACAGTAGGGTTGGCAACACTGGTCACACAAATGAAAGCGTTATTTCATTACAAGCTCACGCAAACAGCGCCGCGCGCACAAATGACAAACTATCTATAATTCTGTTAAAACTGTTATTTATATTCTAAATAGCATTTGTTATGAAACCATATTTAATTCACAATGTTCCACTGTCAGGCGAAGTCTCAATAAGGATTGAGCTATATCTGGAAACATGGTTTCGCCTTTTCCGTCCTTATCGTTTTCTGACGCACAAAACTACCTTTTACTAGAGCGATAAACACAAGCGGGTAAGCTCAATCCTTATAATCAAATGTAACATTTTTTTTTGTTACAAGTTACAGCATGATTCTAAATTATTTTCCTAGTTTTTTTTTTTGGTATAGAATGAGTGTACAGTCTCGACTAGTATGCATTCCCCTATTAGCGGACGATAAGGGTGCGTTTCTACCGGAGCTTTATGAACTTTCATTCGTACTAATACATAATCTGAATAATTCACCAAAACGAGAACGTGTCACTGAAAAGTGCAGTTTCTTTTAAATAGTATATAGTTTTTCAGAAACGCGTTCAGATGTTAAAAATAAACTGCATTATCGTCCAACAGTTCTAAGCGGTTCTTGTGTGATTTCTCAACGGATTTAAAATAGACTGTCTTATGAACGCCATTCCACATTAAAACATGACGTTTGACGAGACTCCACGGACGGCTGGAGTGTTGGACGTTTAGTGTCAGGACTATTAAAAGATTTGTCAAACAACAATATTTATAGCTAGTGTGACTGATGCGGACTGATTTATGTTAGAAAGCTTAAGCGATTGACACTACCCTCTAAGCGGGGAATTCACTTGACAAACAAGCCCGCCGGACCTTTAGATACTAATAGATATGTGTATATTTAGATACTATTAGACTGCGACGTTCCTACACTAGCAAACATTCATAGACCTATAGAAGCGTGGCCCGGCTGGCACGTCTGCAGAATTCCCCGCTTCATGTTTTACGGAAACTTTAATCTACACTTTATAATCGTACGAATTACATGTGACCTGAGCGCCTATTCTATTTGTCGTCGAAAGAAAAGTTGGGAATTTCGAATTATTTTCGTAGTTCAGTTAAAATCATATCTGAAAAGATTATCAGTGTATCGAAGGGTCCGGTTTCTATGTCCGTTGCGTCATACATAATCGAAAAATGCGTTTTCGCAGAATAAGAATAGGACTTCAGGTTTCACGTTAATTGGCACGAGTTGGAAGCGCACCACTTGTGTGGACATAATGTAATTGTGTATTGTTTATGTACGCTAGCGGAGGCACGCGGCGTGGGCGTGGGCGTGGTCGGCGTGGTGGGGGCCGGCGGCGGTGGAGGGGCGCGGCGCGGAGCGTGGGGCGGGGAGCGCATGGACGTCGAGGGGGCGCGCCGCGACGACGATCTCCTGCCCGTCTGCTCGCTCGCGCACTCGCCCGTTGCCATACACTAGCGCGCGCACGACTGATTACACGCCCCCCACTCCCCACCCCTCCACTGTGTCCGCCTCCTGAACTCACTTGGGCGTCCTCCGTTTATTATTTAAAACGATGCGTGAATACCTGTGGACACAAAGGTAGACGTACGAAATTCTTTCTGTTCGTCGAATGTTGTAAAGCTAAAAAAAAACTTACTTTATATTCCTGTAGGTCCAATAATCTTGAGTTTGCTCATTTATGTGATCTTACCTAAGAAATATCACTGGGAACTCTGGTGGGAACTCTTTTTGAGGAGAAATGACGTATTCGATCCCCCTGCTAAATCATCTTACGTAATGAATGGATGGGCGCCTAGTTAATCTCTCATAAGTCTGACTCTTATATACGATACGTTCCCGCGTAACGACGCACTCCCCCCCGCTCCCCGCACCCGCCCCTCCCTCGCCCCGCTCGCGGATCGGCGACGGCTCCACGTTACGCGATGCATATCAAGGACGCAATACGGTAGAAGATAAAATCGAAAAAAAAATATTGTATATAATGATTTAGGCCCGCGCTGCGGTCCGGTCGTGATGCGAGTCGTACGATGCTCTTCGGCTCGGTCGCGTCGCGGGCTAGGTTTAAGTAATTTTAATGCACAAAAGGATTCTTTCGACGCCGGCCGCTCGATCGTAGACGACGATCGTTCAGACGGACGCTAGTCTTGGGCGTAATAGTTCGCAACTGAGATATAACGAGTTAGTTCTCGGCTCCTAAACGAACTAGTTCACTCTTTTAATTCGTGACTCGTGTAGATTCCTAACTTTCTGCTTTTTGCAGCAGTATCAGTTTTAAAACGAGCGATCGATCTGCCTTATTGAATTATTTTAAGGCCGATTGTTCGTTCGTTTTGATACTGCTCCTGCTGCTACTAGTAGATTATTGAAAACTAAATTTACATCAAAATTTTGGACACGAAATATAACTAAATTAAACATATGAACTAATATTCATAAAATATATTTTTCAATGTAAATAACTAGGTATTGTTAAGGCAGTGGATAATATACTTTTCACCTTTATATATTCAACTAAACGACTCATCTTTTCACATTCTGTCGCGAACTACGGAACGGGAAATGTGGGAACTAGTTCGCGTAGATCGTCTGCCGGAGCCAGTTTTTCGAACCAGTTCGTTCGCGAACTGCGCAAGACTAACGGACGCCGCTCGCGTCGCGGACTCGTTGTATATAATGGACGGTTCGCCCGCGAACTGTGGACGGTTCGTCCGCGAACTGTGGACGGTTCGTCCGCGAACTGTGGACGGTTCGTTCGCGAACTGTGACGCTTGTGATCCGGGAGTCTCGAGTATTATTTTAAAGCGTATGATAGGTTACGTTGACCCATTGTAATATTCAGACGATGTGTAAAACGGAATAGTGTATAGGTAATTCTATTAAAAAAAAAAACACAAATTGTACTTGTAGGTTACGAGAATGTTGAATCATATATAAAGTTTTTTTTTTTTGGTATTACAGATAAGGTATAACAAATCGAATTACATAACTGACTCGTTCGACCTTTTTGGATTTGAATCTACAATAGACTAACCTCATTGCAACAGACTGGTCGAAACTTTGTAACGGAGATATTTTGTATAGCGATACACTGAATCACTGCCTTATTGTGCCGGAACTTTTTATGAACAAGACCCGCTACTTATGAGAGACTTTTTTGTCGAATACGTCATCACATAGACTCATGTATGCCGTGCCGGTGGGTGGTTAGAAACGTGTGAACGCTCGAGGCGATGACCGGACAAAAGGGGGGGGAACGTTACCAAACAGAATTAATGATAAAAAAAAATTATAAATGTATATCGGCGTCATGCTAATTCTACTAATGAGCTATGTTTACATCGGGTAATTCTACGGAATTAATTATCATTAGTTTGAATTACATATCAATTGATGCTAAGCGACCGTTACAATTCACAATTTTTAAAACAGATATCTCATAATGGTCTGAGAAAATTTTCGTTAATTTTAATTTGTTAACTTAATCCGAATATCCGTGTTGAAAACGGTCGTTGAATGATACAGGTATAAAGAGTGAGTAGGTAACTTGATTCTGTATTGTATTGGAAATTTCTTAAAGTGTTTGACTTTTGAGATGCTTATTAACGCTGACGGGCTAAATCCCTGTCGACGAGGGACCACTATATTGGAATCGGAAGGAAAAAGCAATGTGTTGTAATTGTAATCTAATGAAGTATTCATACGTTGAATTTGATAAATGTACAGCAGTGTTTTCTGTATTATTTAAAATGAATAATAATAATTTAAGTATGCTTAGTGAAGCATTAAATTGCATATATAAATTGCTAATGCGAGACTCGGTAACACTACCCACAGATCCAAATATCAAAATGACTTGAGTCGAAACGCTCGACTTTTTTTATCTCGACTTATGTTTTGAGCTCTCACAATGCGGCTGAGCTATGAGCTGTGATGTCATAGCGAAATTGCACACACCTAGTGCATCTTTTTATTTAATTGTATATAGAAAAAAAAATATATTCACTATATTAGTGGAGTTTAATGGCATAAGTTTGGTGATTTCTCTTATAATTATTATTATTATTGTTAAGGTTGACACAAGTCGCATCAGTAGCGGGTCTCAAAGCTTGGCGGCTTTATTCTGAACTTGGGAGTTTAGGAAAATATTATTATTTCTAATTATATTTTAGTTAATTGACGACTGACGGTACGGTAGTTCAGAGTGAAGCTGCTAAAACGATGACATTGCAACTGTTTGCAGAAATTTAAAAAGATAAATAAATAATAAAATAATACTTTTCGTACTGACTGCGTAATGTTGCTGTGAATTTTTTATAAAAACAGAAAAACCACAACCACTATCGATTTTTTAAAATTTTTCAACTGAAGCGTTTGTATGGTAAAGCTATTTGTTTTCTTACATGAAGCATGAAAGTATTTTTCCGAGTTTACGTTGTTAAGTGCTAAAGAAATAGTTTCACCCATTTCATTGTAGATTTGAATCTATTTCTAATCTTACCGTTCTGTACTATAAATTTTGAACTATCTGTATAATATTTACTATAATACTTTTCTGCTTCATGAGGTTGCATAGGATTGTTAGAAAAAAAAGTATAAGAAATAGGTATGGGACTCGTTTAATTTGGTAATAGAGCAATAACATGTTAATCAATGTGCGGGTTTCTTTTAGTTATCTATTTTATACTCTATGGTAAAGTTTTTAAAGTATCATTGTACGTTTCTTTATATTTTTGTAATAGAACATCTGATAACGGTGTTATTAAAAGCTATCTGTTATATAGAGTTTGATTTTATATTTTTGTTTTGTATCGAAGCAAGTATCTATATCGTATAGAACATAGGGAACCCGCTGTAACATCGCTATATAATACATAACAACTAGTCGGAATGTTAAGTGGTAAACAACACATAAAACACCAACCTATTTGAATAGTTCTAACTAAATCCATTACTCAAGGATGGCCCTAGATGTTTGCGCTTGAGTATGTAATATACTATACTTACTATTTATTTGTACTGTGACAGTATGGGGTTATGTGAAATGTGTGTGACATGACAATGTGCTGGTGCGCGGTGAGCTATAATGTTTATTTCCTATCGGATTGTCAGTTCGCAGGCACTGTAACAATAAAAGGATAGAGCTTTATGTCACTAAGTTTTGTATTTTAAATCAATAAACAATAGCAATGATCTGTGTATTTTTCTTATTGCTGTGTTATATTCATAGCTTGATCCTCCTGATTCACCTTTAAATTAAATAGATTTGATTTTGGCCATTTTAAAAGTCAGGTAAAAGTGGACTTCGATACGTCGCAGATGGCAGCTGTATAAGTTTTGCCACACAATTCAATATTTCAAAGACATTTTTTTTATAGACGTATATGACCAAATTCGGGTATACACTAATGCCCTTTGTCGTATACCGGCGAACCTTTCTTCTTTTTAATCAATGACGTTGCCCTTTGGATATCGCCAGAATCCAGTGCCGCGCAAGGAATTTGAATGTAAAATATATAAACTTTTTCATTCCCTCCTTAAAGTCAACGAATGAGCAAATTTAGATTTATGTTTTGATTATTTAAAATAAACCAGAAATATAGACAACTTTACGTAAAATGTCTCTATTCACTATTGCCACAAATCTGAGTCTTCTATAATAATTGTTATTGTTGATTAAATTATAATGCTTATTATCCTATTCCCAACAAAGACAAATCCAAAAAAGGCAAATATCATCAAAACACAAAACGGTCCAGCCGTTCGCGAGTTATAAATGGTGCAACGAATACGACTTTCTTTTATATAGGTACCTCGTGTGTTCATAAGTTTTGAGACGAAATAATAGTTGCGTAACTTTTTTAATAATTCACTTATGTTGCTAAAATTTTCAGTAACGATTAAATAGATAATAATCAACAATAAAATATTTGTCTTACCCAAAATGGCGGCCCTTGTTTTTAATACAGGCCCTTAGACGATTTTGCAAGTCATCGGTGGCGTCACGAATCTTTTCTAGCGGAAGTCGCTTTGCTTCGGTTGAGGTCGGGGCTGGTGGAGGGCCACTCGTCCGTCGCGATGGAGGCAGGCACATTCTCCGTCAACTAAGCTTGGGTGCTTTTTGCCTTATGGGATGGCGCCGAGTCTTGTTGAAAAACCCAATCCTTATTGTAAAATAACGTAACAGACGGGTTTCACCACGGGCTCTAAAATGTCACAATCTTGGCTTTTACTTTGACACCTTGTTGGCAGAAATGGAGCGGAGTGACACTTTCATACGAAACTCCCCACCATACCATTACACTAACCGGATGATGAGTGCGCGAGACATTCCGTGCAGAAGTTTGGACATCCTGCGTACAGTTTTTGTTTTGTCGGTTGAACGACTCGACAATAAATATTATCTCGTCGGTGAAGAGTATCTTCCTAGCATTATGTCTCCTCATCAGCAACGAACA